CCCCCCCCCCCCCCGCCAGGTCTTGTAGCCACAAAAATATCATCCACCTCTCCCTATTTACTACAAAACTGTTGAAATGCACCATTGTAAGTAAGTCAGTAAGTGCAGTCAGGCAGGTAGGCAGGCAGGTAGGCAGGCAGGTAGGCAGGCAGGCAGGCAGGCAGGCAGGCAGGCAGGCAGCCAGCCAGCCAGCCAGCCAGCCAGCCAGCCAGACTGCTGATCTTTAAAAATTATTTTCCAAAGAAAATGATCTTTAAAAATCATTTTCCAAAGTGAACTTTCCTCATCTGAAGAGGTAACACGTTCCATTCCTGGGAAGCAGTCACAGAAAAAGTTTTTCCACGTATGTTAAAGTTAAGCTGTTAAAGCTATGTTAAAAATTAGCATATCTAGTCTGGCGTGAATGAGTTTCACTGATAAGCTTTAGTAGACTTTGAGGTAACCGGGCATGCGACCTTTCAAGCGCTTGTATACGGTACAACATTTGGCTAGTCTAACATTCTCGAAGAAAGGAATCCATTGTAATATAACTTACCATACAAAGACTGAATTGCATCGATATCAGCCTGTTGCAGGCTGAAGTTTGGTACATATCCAGTGTAGTATGGATACATGACAGCATTCCTGACATTTGAGTGATGGATACCAAGTGAGTGACCAAATTCAAGTGTAGCAACCCACAGAAGGTTTGTGCCACTTGATGTTCCATCGGTGAATCCTTCATCTTCATTAAAGTGCGCGCGGCTTTCTGAGGGGATGAAGGCGTGTGCTAGTGTTCCGCTTGGTCCGTCGAATGGATAATAACACCTGCTTTCATTGCTTCCAACGTGGCTTCTACTTCCAAAGCTGCGTAAAGAAATAGCAATTAATTAACATAATCAATCAATCAGTACTGATTTAATGTGAATATACGCTTAGCTATGCGGTGTACTACAATAGTTCACCAGCTAGTTTATAGGTATATCACTAGAAAAAAAAAATTAAAATAAAATGAATATGGAGTGACAAAAATTGGCTAAAATAAGCTAAAATATAAAAAAAACCAGTTAAAATTTCCTTTACATATGTACTAGCCTAAGATTAATTAATAAATCGATAGACTAATTAACTCAGTTACATACACCGCACTATGTATGGCTTGTAAAAAACTGATAGACCTCAGAAAAAACAAATATGATATGAGAGGAAATGACGTCTTCAAACTGCCTAGGGCCAATACCACTACCTTTGGCCTGAAATGATCTCAATTGTGAAGTGACTTGCCTACTCTTCGACAGAATTAATTTCAACCGCATTTAAGAAGTTTTCGTCTTTCGATAGTTTACTTGATGTTATTGCTGGCACGCGCAAAGAAATCTGGTAAAAAAAACCATAAGAGGACTTTAATGATTACCTGATTTTAAGGTCAGCAGATCTTGCGTTGGAAGCTCTGGAGAAAGACAGTCCTGATACATCATTCCAGTACTTCAGAGCTCTGGCAAACACCGTGTCTTGAGTGGCTCGTGACAGATCTGCTCCATGCTCCACATGGTACGTCAGGTGTTTTTTACCCCATTTGGTGCCAGTGGCGTACCTCTTTTCCCAGCCGAAGCCGCCGCCGCTTAGTTCAACAACATCCGGCATTCCACAGCGGGGTTTCTTCATTTGTGCGATGGTGCGTTGGTCTAACTGGCCGGTCACAGGCAGACCAGTGAAGTCTTGGAATTGTCTGATGGCTGATCCCACGTTCTGATTCCCTGAACCTGTCGGACATATGTAGTGGTATTTGGTAAGAAATTTCTACCGAGGGAAAAAAGTGCACAGTTAGACTCAACTAGTGGAGAAACTGCCATTGAAAATTGAAAATTTAAGCATTCAGCTTAAAATTGGGCTAATCTGAGGTGAATTGAAAAAATACTTATTTAGAAGGGAGAGGGAAAGCAGACACAAAATGTACTCACCAAAGCCATGGTCTCGTCATCGTCTCGGGCAAAGACGAACGCTTGTGAAGCAAGAACGGCCAACAAGACAGCACACAACATCTTCGAGCTGGTTCAAACCAAAGCGATCCTTGATTTGTTGTGAGTGGGGAATTCCTAAGTCCTATTTCTTTTATAACCGGTCGTTTCCACGCCCACTGTTCTTGAGTTTGTCTCTTTTTCAAAGTTTTGTTTGGAAAGACACTTTTAAAACACCTGACAGCTGAGCTTCGCGCATTCAAAGAATTTTAATTACATGAAAGAGTTACAGTTGGTTATTTTTTTTATTACAAATTTCTGCATTGTCCTTCTATTTCGTTTAACATTGCCGCCGACCTTTTTTAATTCACCTTTGTTGCCATTATATTATCAAGATGCATATTACGAGACCTGACTACTGCAAGGATAAAATTACTCCCTAGAAATTCCCTTCCTTCAATAGCCTTAGGTTAGTATCATTGATCGCCTCAACAGATGACGTTTGTTCATGTTAGCGATAAAACTTCCTTATTCACGGCTCCAATACAGAGCTGAAGCTTCTGAATTATTGTTTTATCGTTACTACACATATTTGGTCAGCGGGCAACAGGCTCTGATCAGTTATTAAAAACTCCATTAGAACGTAAGGCCGGCAGTCTGTGTGACCAAACATGTCAATTAGCAATAAAAGGTAATAATATGATTTTCAATAGAAAACTAACAAACTTGAAATCTTAAAGGTACAACCCTTGAAAACGAAATAAGATAACGCAGCTAAGTTCGTAGTATAATAAAACCCATCTTTTTGGTCTTCTAAAGGCAATTGAAAATATGGCTTGGAAAAAGGAGGCGACAGTAAATTTTAGTAGTATAAACGTTTGCGTCTTTTTGGTGTCAATATAGCTAGCAGACAGACAAAATTCTTCTCTCCATCAACAAAATTCGAGAAGAATAACTAGTGAAGCTAATACAATTTCCGAGAATGTGGTGTATATTTTTCCAGGAAAAATTTCGACAAGTTTGAACGCTCACGGACTAATTTTAACTTAGTTAAGTTTTTTCGCATTTTTCTCCCTGAAAAAAGTATATATTGAACTTGTATCTGTATAAAAAATATCAACTTAGTCTAGCATTAAGTCAAAGGAACTAGTCTAGAGTGAATTTGTTGTGGAGTAAGTAAACAAGGGCTGAACGTACTACAAACCAATACTAGCAGTGTGCAAGAACTGAGTTAATTTCGACTCTCTAGCAGTGTGGCCTAGCCCCCTCGAGTGTCCTGCAGCTCTGTAGTAGATCTTGCAACCAGTGTTTTTATAAAAGGATATCGGTAAAAACAATTCAACTCTTATATGGTGAAGAGAATCGTCAGGACTCGGAAAGAAATTCCGAGTAGCATTTGTCACTTATGTCATAGAGTTCAACTTGATTAATGTCAGTTCTGGCAAAACTGATCTAGTTGTTATTTTTATCTCGTTTTGGTTTTAATGGAATTTTATGCCCAATTTGAATCCGATGTTCCAATTTAAATGCTTCACGAAGCTGATTTGACTCTCATATATAATTTATTCTCTTTACATCATGTGCGATGAAAGAAATTTAACTTATAAACTGACCAGTGCCAGCCCCCAACATTTTCAGTTACTCCTGGTAAACGAAGGGGATTATTTGTGTGGAATTCTAAATTTTTCCCATGCTTTGGAAGGACTAGTTTTTATTGCATTTTTTGGTGCAAAATCAGAGGGTGAGTGAGACAATTTTACAGTGGTTTATTCTGAAAAAGCCCATAGACTGAATTGCTTCAGAGCCACTAACTTGTATAGCTGTTTGAACAGTGTTGAGTCAATATTTGCTTTCAAATGGAAGGCAATTTCCCCTTTTCTTTAAAAATTTCATTTGAGCTTGCCATCGGTAGATAAACAGCTTTGAAGGAGCATTAAAATATTAAATTAAAATATCACTCGGCTAAGTTCATAAAAGGAAACGTAATCTAAGAAACTCAACTTAATTTGAAACAATATTTTAAGAACTCTTTCGAAAGGGTCTAACAGTTATCCTCCGATATTCACTGCAACAACCTTTTACCTCGTTATTCTTTATTCGTTGTTGTGTTCCCCTCAAGTACCTCGGAGATAGTAGTCAAAGGCAAAATGACGCCAATTTTTGGCTGAGGCAGTTCAAAATGTTAACATGTAATTGAACCGTCCTTTCTCAGCTAAAACGTTTCAGGGAAAAAACTCCATTGCTATAATATTTAACAATTATTCACCGATGTGGAGGTGAATAGTACTTGCTAATCACCTAGGAGTTAACCAATCAGAGCGTGCGAAAAGCACTATTCACTTGTTTGGTATACACTAGAATCAGATATACCATTCATGAATTTGACCCGAAACGTTATTTATATGATGAATAAATCTCGGTGATTACTCAGTTCAGCGTACGAGTGCTTGGGAAATAAATTTAACGATACAAATCACCAGCAAATCTGCAATTGAAACATTCTTAGCAAAAATAAAGCCCGAAGAAAAAATTATCAATCCAGTAGCAATGCTAAGACAAATTTGAAACGTTTTTAACCAATTGCACGCTTTCAAGCTCGTTCAGTTAATTCACCCTCTAGATAGCGAGACTATAAAACTGTCGATAGCAATGCTGACATAACTACAAAAATTGAATTACATCGTGAAGCGAACTGCAGATACTGCCAACTAAAAAACGATTCATTATCTTCCATTTTAATCAGCCGGCTGTCATTGTGTTCAGCGTCTTTCCAAGCAAATCTCTGACTCAAATTGTAGAACAGCAAGCGTGCTCAAATGGCCTTCGAGTATTCTATACATGTACTTCTACAATCTAGTAATTCATCATTGATATCAATATTTCCGAGTTTTTCAAGTTTTAAAAACCCTATCACAATAAACCATGGCTTCGACTACCATTTAATAACATTTCTCTTTACAAAAGATCAACTGTAATAGTCTTAAAGTTTCGATTTTCTGGATTTCCTTGGCCTCATGAATTCGATTCCTCTCTTTTTTGTTACCATCATCACAGCACCATTGTTGTTGTCATTTTCAATCAGCTGAATTACTCCACTGGCGATTAATTCAGGACTGGGTAAATAAACAAATAAGCAAATAAATGAACTGAATAACATTTCCTGTAGCAAGGGTTTTACATTATGAATTTTAAGGTCATTCCGCTGAAATAGAACCTGCACTGAGATTTTTGTGAAACTTTGCCTATCGATTGTTTATATTATAGGAACTTAAATTTTGAATTAAAAATGAGGGGTCCCCATGTTCGTTAAGGAGCAAAAGCACCTTGTTTATACCCATATAGATCCTTATAATAGCACCATGATTGTAGTTACGATTGCTTGCTAAATTCACGTTTCCGACGGTTGCTTTTTGTTCTTCACTGAGAATTGGTCCATATTTATTTTACACAGAGAAATTTATTACTCAATTCAAAACAACAGAAAAAAATGATAGGTCACCATACTCGTTTGCGGGAAAATGACGATTTACCTCTATGGCGAGAAAAAGCCGCCATTTTTAATGAGCGCGCGCTAATCACGCGTGGAATTATGCGCAGTAGGGATGCGCAATGCAATACTGGGGAATGACCTTAAACATACAACCAAAAAAATTGTCTTTCTGCTCTGGAATGATTATTAAGACATAAAAGAATTTTTTGTACTCAGAACGCAACATTTTTTTTTAGAAAAAGGGGAACTTCATCAGGCACAATAAAATGTTCATGCCAAGAAGGGTTATATGATGCTCATTAGGGTCTCGAGGGAGATAAAATAATGTCAGATATAGGTGTTAGCTAATTCGAAGCCATCGACTCTACTCAAAGAGGACTTCCGTAACCCAATCTCAGTTGCCTCCCTTATGCGACGCTTGAACGTGTTCCTTTCTGTGGCAAGAACTTTTGTTTGGCTGGAACCTACTGAATGTCCCGTGAGCTGGCAATGTTAATAAATGGCTGACGAATTCCATGAAAGATGTTCCTTTACTCTAGCTTTTAATAAACGAGAAGTTTCGCCAAAATGTTCTTTGCCACATTGTCCACAATGGATGTGATAGACTGTTCCGCAGTTTTTAGGTTTTCTGTTTTGTCCTTAACAAGTACTAATTTCGATCTCAGAAAATTGAAAGGCTTGGGACGAGTGTGACCTCGTGTGATTTAAATGCTCTTTGTAGGCGTTCCGAAAAGCCAGGTATTGCTTATATGCACGATATCTCTACTGTATAAAACATCATAACATTGGAGAAATCGGCCAAGTGGGGACCCGGTTTCTGATCACTGACATGACCAAGAACGAAGCAAGAACCACGCTCAACCTATGTTTGCGCAGTTAAAAACAAGTGTCCTTCATGTACCTGATCAAGCCTTGTTCCAAAACCAAGTCACGATATTCTAAATTTTTCTCCCCGCTCAATCCATGTCCAAGTAATGGCAATACCAGCTCAGTTTCGGTAAAGCTGGGGCAAATACAATTCACTCTGATTCCTTCTGTATCTTTAAGACCCTATCAAAGATGAAAGATAATATAATTATTATTCTAAACTATAGATTAGATGCAGAGGTATCTCTTTGAGCACAAGTTGCCTGTCTATGACGTTGGACATTAGCATTATAGGTATGTAATGCGGGCAGATTACCAATGCATGCAGGAGGCTATGAAGCAGTGTTTTTCAGTTTGCATGCAACTTAAGCCTTAATGCCAGGTACCTAGCATTATTGCCAGGCATTACTGTCGAACCTTCACAAACGGCCGCCTCTCTACAATGGCCACCTTTTTTGGCCCTGGCGCACAGTCCATGCATTCACTGTTATTTTAACCTCTCTGCAGCAGTTTTAAGGTACACTGTAACCTTTAGAAGAACTAAAATTACTTTGCCACTTGTGACTCAAAGAAGCACCAACTGCTCTCACAAAAAAGGTACAGTAACTGAAACTTTGTGTTTGGTACCAGGATGGTTGCTACAAAACACGTTATATTGAATGTTTTACTAGTAAAATATTACAAATATACCCCTGCACTCTGTGAAAATCCACAAACACCAGCTTTTGTGGCAGTATATACAGCCTGGTCAGGTCCCATAGGAAAAATAGCTGAAAGCGAAACAAACCGTTTAAAAACCCCTTATTCATCCAAGTGTACGTAAAAAATACAAAGGCAAATTTCTTTTTTCGTAATATCTAAATTTGAATAGACGGTTTTCGTATTCCCGGTATTGGACTGGAACTAGCTTGCAACTGAGGCTAATGCAGGGAGTCTTTTCAAATGCTAATGACATTGATCTCTTTTTAATGATATTCCCCTGCATGAGCCTCTTTTGCAAGCTAGTTTCAATCCAATACCGAGAATACAAAAACGGTCTAACTAAAAATAAGGAACTTTTCATTCATTAAGGAGGGGGAAAGGCTAGTGAAAATAGGGGAGAAGAGGGTCACAAATTATTTAAAACAGGGCTTAGAAGAGGGTTTGTACGCATTGCTGTTAATAAATATCAATAAATAAATCAATCAATCAATAAATAAATAGTCAGACAGGTCTTGACATGTCAACTGTTGCATAGAAAGTAAATTTATTATATCAAAGAAAACATATATCTTCACATTCTTAGACAGTAAAATGGTTCTTTCAGTCAGAACCACCTACAAATATTTTCAAAATATAAAATCAATCATAAGACATTCAGATGCCCCCTGGACCCTTGATCCTCAATAAATTATTACCATTTTTTGTGAGAGCATTGAGATTTTTGATGTAATGCACTAGAAATAAATTATTATTATTATTTTGTTATTATTATTATTATTATTATTATTATCATTATTGTTAATTGCGCATCAGAATATTTAAACAATACTGAGAATTTTTCAATCCTCATTCTCTGCCAAGATGTCACTATCTTCCCCAGAGGCACCTAAAATTATCTGTGCCCAGTTTTTCCTCACTATCTTCCATAAAAGGAGGAAATTGAAGATAATGATCATGACCATTCATCTCACATTGCTGCCTGTATAAGACCAGGGAGGATAGCAACATAGCATAGCAATAAACAGAGGATAACAACAGAGGATAGCAACTTTCTGTTATGAACAGTAATTTAGTTGTTTCTATCACGTCTTTTAGCCTGGGTAGGGGGGATCATATCTCTTTTGGATTAAATGGGGGGGGGGGTAACAGTTTTTTTCTGGAGGAAATTGGGGGAGGGTATACAAAACCTGCACCAGCCCTCCCCCCATCTGGTACCATAAACGGCTGCTTAAAAGCCCTTCATAAGGGGTTTTGGATGGGCTCATAAGCAGAGGGGCTTATATCCGGGAGGGGGGAAACTCATCAAAAAATAATATGCTACAGCAGTGTTGATTGTTTTTCATGTCCTGGTTTTTAAGTAAGCTTGGTCTTTTTTTTTTTTTAAACTGGAAACATAAAGATGTCACTTCATAAGCGGTGACACTGACACACTTTAATTGATGGATGCCCAACAAGAAACATAGGGTTGTTTACCATTTACATGGGGAAACCAGTTTGACAATGGCCCATGGAAATGGTAAACAAAATTCCTGATGGTAATTTCCATTTGGATTGGCCACTTACCATTTACTCAAAAAACCCAAATTTACTGAAAGAGACCAGAAGGAGTTTAACTTAATCATAATTCCAAGATAGCGGTGAAGAATTGCCAATGGTAAACACATTTTTCACCAGGAAATTTTGGTCGGCAATTTTGGACTACCTTTCAAGACGTTCCACTTATTTCAAAAATTTCCTGGCTGGTCAAAGCAAATCATCTTATCATTAACATTCTGACTGAAATTAACAGAGTTTTTAGGTAAATGATAAACAACAATGGTTACCGAAGGTAACACATAGTAGCCCCTCTCTGATTTTCCTTGTCACTTGAGGAGAACGGACAGCTGTCCATAGACTTCATTGTTATCCAAGGCAAAGGAACAAGAAGTCATGCAAAGCTCACACACCTGCCATTGATGCAACATTGATGATAACTCCACCACTTCCACCATGTGACTGACCCATATGGAGAACACCAAGAAATGTACCAAGAATTACACCCTTCTGAAAAGGAACATTAAACGAAGCCACTTAATTAATGATACCCAATGAATCCATTCCAGGTTAATTAAGACAAAGCATAGCATTTGAATTTAGTGGCTGGTGAATGGGTAATTTCCTTGTAGAAGACGGGAGGGTGGGGAACATCTACAGCTCACTTTGGTTGATGTTTTACTTTGATTCTTCACAGAGTCTACACTATTTTAAATGCATGAAAAATAGAAAGGGAACTTTTAGTGTTGTTTTCAACTGGATATCTCCAGAAGTTGAATTCAAACACATATAGTAGTACATATATAGTAGAGTTAGATGGTATATAACAAGGTCACAGATGTGAAAATACAGTCCGACCCCTCCCCAATGGCCACTTTGAGGACAGAGGAAAGTGGCCATTATAGACAGGTGACTGTTATGTGGAGGTATGTCTGTAAACATGACCCCTAATTGAGTTAGCAAACTCAACCAATACTAACAGCTTGCCAAACAGCATACATTATCATATATTAATAATTCTTTAGTATCCACAGAGGAAATTTTTTCCAGAGAAGTGGCTCAGTGTGGGCCAAGGCATGAGTAATGGTTGGTCCTTAGCACAATATATACATGTTACACAAACCCAAGCAGCAAAGATTCAACTGGACATAAAACAGTAAGGCCTTATTTACTACATTAGCAGCCTTTTAAGCAGCTCATAAGTCTTGTCATACCTACCAAGTTTACATCAACTACTTTCTCCCAGGCATCTGATTCATTTTGACCAAGAATACCAGCATTGTTGCACACAATGTTTATTTGACCAAATGTCTCCTTTGTTTTCCTAAAGGAATCTAACAGAAAAAATAACGCAAAGAGTACTACAATTTATTCACATACATAGATGTTGTACTTAACAAAACTTAGACTAGATTTTCAAAATATTTCAACAGTTCTCAAGCTTTATAGTTTTTCTCCCAATTATATTAAAAATGGACAGGTTTTAACCCTTACTTAAAGAATTAAACATGCTTTAAACATCTGGACCAGTGGTTATATTGAAACAGTTACACATTATAAAATATGTTCTTTTAATTACCTTTCATTTGAAACTTTGATGTAACATCACAAGTAATAAAAATTACTTTCTCTGAACCATATCGTCTTTTCAATCTCTCTTCAAGTTGACAACCTTTCTCTCTTTGTACATCTAATATTACAACCTTGGTATTAAATTGAAAACAATATGTTATAACTAAATAATGAAATTATTGTCAGTGCCCACCTTCCACTGAGGGTGGCAAAGGGTTATTTGAATATTCGTGAATTTATGATAAAAGCCCTTGTTACAAGTAGCTATAAAGATATGTATGATGCACAAATTTTGCCAAAAGTTATAAATAAATTTGTGTGTGAAATGGGATCACAACCCCCCGCCACCCCCCCTTTGCTACCCTCTCTACTGACATAACACTCAGCACAATAATTCCCCGACTGCCACCGTTCTATTTCCCAAGGGAATTTCAAATGTTCTTTTCACTATTCAAAAGTGGTGTTTGAATATCTTTGAACTCAACTGGCAAATATCTGCTCAAAATAACCTGTTATACAGGTTAAATTTCTATGCATGAAACCACTTCCACAATATCATTGATAAAGTCTAAATCATGGCCTTAGGCCCCAGTTATATGGTCTCAGGTACCCAAGACAACCCTCTCCCTGAGTCAATTTGATTGAGCATTTATACATGTATGTGAAAATGTTGTCTCTGTAGTCCGAGTCAAAGTTGACTCTGCACGATCATTCATAACAATTATTTGATTTTCAAATGTGCAAATATCTTTCTTTATTTATTTCTGCTTTAAATCCTAAATCTAGACATTCCGTGACAATCGCCAAGCTGAGAGTTGTCTCAATTAGGCGAGCCAAAGTGTTTAGATGAAGAAAAGTTGTCCTGCCCGCCAGGGTTACCCTACCTGCCAGGGCTAGACAACTCGCCCACCTGAGTTGTCCCGCCCTCTGAGACAGGTTCGAGATCCTGTTGTAAATGGTTGGTTGAATTTTGCAAAGAAATAAGTGAAAAGTTACCTCAGCTGGGATAAGTTGGGGGGAGGGTTGTATTGGGTAACTGAGACCATATAAATGAGGCCTTTATAACCCTAACACGAGCAAAAGAAATCCAACATCTACCATTTTAAATGAGCGCGAAACTCTTTTTGCGAGTGGAATGGAACGAGACTTTCCGACCATTTGCCCCCAAGACATTTTCGAACCTCAGCCCGGAAATTTTGGTTGAATGGATCGCATTTGGCATAATGGAAAGCACCCCAAGAGACCCAAAGATAAGTTGCGTAAAACTAAATTGTTTGATCTCTAATTTGCATCGTACACAGAACTCGTTACCCAGATATCACCTTCAAATTCAGTTTGCATGTTTTAGTATGGGACATGTCACTTACCTTACAACCTCTATCCAGTAGCGCCGTGCAAATCTTCTCGCCTATACCTTGTGCCCCACCTGTTACAATCGCTACACTTCCCTGGATCTTCATTGTTTTTCACTTTTTTGTAAACAAATGAAGAAATTGCGTTCTTAAAAATTTTACTAATGTTTTGCGTCTTGTATGTCCGCCATATTGGCCGAGGGTCACTGAGTCAGACTTTCCCGACCTTGTTCCCAGGGTCCTGCACCGCTTGGTCTACCGCAATCGCCTCTAACTCTTTGAATACCAACTACGTGCTCTTTGTACCACTTGTGACGTCACAATTTAAATGTCATCAGATATTCTTGATAAGCAGATAGTAGTACTAGGTCAGGTTTAGATATCGACGACATTCCGATGTCGCAAATCGAAAAACAACGTTAACAGTTTTGGTGCAAAAACGGTGGTAAAATGGTCCACTACGCCTATGATTAATCAAGGTCCATTTCTATGAATGTCAATATTCCAACCCATAAAAGTGATAATGTCTTGGATCTTATTATTACCAGGTTAGATGAAACAACGACATCAAATTTCTCAATCGATGACCCTGCTATCTCCGATCACTTTGCTGTCCATTGTAACTTGGCTGTTTCAAGGCCACCTAACCCGAAACAAGTCCTAAAGTCACGAAAGCTGTGCAATGTCAATTTACATAAGCTACGACAAGATATAAACTCATCTACTTTAGTCAAATCACCTTCGTCAGATATTACGGAGCTTTGCGATCAGTATGATGCTGTTTTATCCTC